AGAGAGAGAGAGAGAGAGAGAGAGAGAGAGAGAGAGAGAGAGACTATTTCTATGAGAGAGTGTCTGTGTGACCAAATCAAATGATAATTTTGAAGACCAATATCCTTTTCAGTTAGGCAACTGCACTTTCCTTATTACATAAAGACATGCCAGGGACATAAATATCAGGGCTTTTAGAATTGTTCTTGAGAGAATTTGATAGAAAAGCAAAATATCTACTTAGACTGACCACCCTCCCTTTTTTTTGATAAGGCAAAAAGCGCAGTCCATGTTCAATAAAATAATCTGATTTTTACCTTGTATCATAGATTCCTATCACTTTAAACCCAGACTTAGCAGGAGTCATTGAATCTGGCAAAACTTACTTGTAAGAAGATGCACCATTCTTGAATGAGAAGACCTGTGACAATTTGATTAGCTTACTTTAAAATAATGTCACTGATACCCAAGAATAAAAATTTATTCTCAGGGTTGAGCATTTGGAGAATAAAACCAGGGACCCATGTATGTGCCCTATGTGCACCATGACATCTTTTTCCCTTTTTTTCTCTCATCCAAGCTGTGTTGCCTGGCCTTGGGCTCTGAATATGCTGTCTCTCTCAGGACTTTGTTCCATCCATTACCTCTTATTTTTCCTGTAATTTTCTATAACCTCCCTCAGTTTTAAAATTTGCTTGAGTTTGTTGAAGAAACAAACCAAAACTAAGTCCCCCCAAACAAAACCAAGTGTCACTCAACTCTTCAACTCCTTCTAGCTAAGTCATTTCTCTTCTTTGTTTCAAAATTGTTTATTTATTTATGTGATTATTTTTAACAGCTTTGTTGAGATACTAAGATATACCAAGCTAAAATGTTTAAAATATTTAGTTGGATATATATGTATGTGTGTGTATAATATATATACATATCCATGAAGCCACCATGAGATTCAAAATAATTAACATATATATCACCCCCCAAAAAAACTTCCTATTGTACTTTTTGAAATTTCCTCCCTCCTGTCTCTCCCTGCTCCCTTTCTCTGTAGATCTGTTTTTAGTCATTTTAGATTAATTTGCATTTTCTAGAATTGCTTATAAAAGTAATTCCCCCACAGTTTGCACCCTTTGCCTTCTTTCACTCAGCATCATTATTTTTAGATCCACTCATGCTCAAGCATATATCAATAGTTCATCCTTTTTATTGTTGAGAAATTTTCCATTACATGACACATCTAAAGTTTTTTAATCAATTCAACCACTCATGGTCTTTTTGGGCTACTATGAGCAATGTTGCAATGACATTCATTTGTAAGTCACTGTATGGACATAAATTGTCATTTCTCTTAGGAAAATACCCAGGAACAGAATGAATCATAAGGTGGGTGTATATTGTCCCACAGTTCACTGGTGATCTGTTTTTGTTTTGCTTTCTTTCTTTTTTTTTTCCTCTGTGAGTTTTATTTGGATAGTTTCTCTTGCTATGTCTTCAAATTCACTAATCTTCTTCTGCAGTGCCTGATCACTGCCAATCTTATCTAGTGATTTTGCACGTTTGCCATGCAACTTTTATCTTTAGAATTTCAGATTGCATCTCTTTTTATATCTTCCATGAGTTGACATGTTCAATCTTTAGCTATTGAGTATACATTATTAATAACTATTGCATTATTGTCATTTGTGTTATTTCTGGTTGGAATGTTTTAGTCAGTTTCTGCATCTCTGTGACCAAATGCCCAACAAGAACAACTTAGAGGGGAAAAAGTTTATTTGGAGCTCATGGTTCTAGAGGTCTCAGTCCAGATAGCTGACTGCATTGCTCTAGGCACAAGATGAGACAGCACATCCTGGGGGAAGAACCCAGTAGAGGAAAACTGCTCAACTTGTGGTAGTGAGGAGGCAGAGAGAAAGAGAGAGAGAAAATGGTACCTACGAGTGCATTGGCTTCTTCTTCCCTCTTCCCTCCTACCATCCAGTCCCCCAGCCCATTGGGCTGCACCACCCACATCCAAGATGTATCTACTCCCCTCAGTTTACCATTCCACATGTCAAAAATCTCTGGAAACACCCTCATCAACCCACCCCAAAGTGTCTTAACTCAATCAAGCTGACAATCCATATTAACCATCACAAGGACTGATTGATTTTCCTCCATTTTATAGCTCATATTTTTCTTCTTCTTTGTATGCCTCATAATTTTTGATAGGATGTCACACATTGTGCATATTACCTTGTTGTTTGTTGGATATTTTTTTGTGTTCTCATAAATATTCTTGAACCTTATTCTGGGACACAGCTAAAAACTTGGCTCTTTGGGGTTTTGTTCTTCCAATTTATTAGATGGTTCCAGGATTAGCTTTTGTCTAGGTTTAATTTGATTCCCACTTTTGAAGCAAAACCTTCCTTGCCTTAACTAATAACTGACACCTCCCCAGAAGTGAGTTTTCCTCCCTGGCTGTTGAGACAAGCGCTATATCCAGCTCTTTGTGAGCACTGGACGCTTTTTATTCTCATCCTCTTACGTGTTTTTTTTTTTTTTTTTCCCTGACCTTGAGGGATTTCTTCGTGTACATGATCAACTAATCAACTAATTTCTAGAGGGACACTCTCCAGTGTCTTGGTACTCTCACTGTCTTGCTCCCAACACTTGCAGTTCTACCTCCTCTCAGGGGCTGATTCAATTCCTCCTCCATGACAGCCTGGGGACCTTCCTCAACAAGCTGAGGACATTGTAGGGTGGTTTTTTGTTTTTTTGTTTTTATTTGTGTTCTGTCTTGAAGAGAACATTGTTCTTTATTGACTGATATCCAGTGCTAACTGAGGATTGTTTTATATATTTTGGTCTAGTCTTTTTTTTTTTTTCTTTTTTGGAAAAAAAATTGGAAGAGAAATCCAATTTCTTTTTCTTCATCTTGATCAGGAGAGAAAGTCTCATAGCAAAGATTTTAAAAAGTAGATTTCTACCATTACCTCTTCCTCTTCACCTCAGGCATGGTCATGGGACCACTACAATAAAGGATCTGGCTGAATGAAGCTCTTAACTTGCTTTTAGTAAACCTGCTGGCAAGCCATCTGGACTTCACCAGTTATTTGACTTCTCTTGGCCATGACCTTCTCTGTTATTTGATTCCTCTCTTTTCTCCCCGAGCTCACCACAGTCTTTTTTGCTCACTCATCCTTCTGTACCTCAAGCCCTGACCTTGACCTTTCCACTCCACACACACACACACACACACACACACACACACACACACACTGACCAATCAAGCTCATTTACTCCATAGCTGTGAGCCTGAAGTCTCCACCTCCAGCCTGAAGTCTGAGATCCAGGGCCATCTATCTATCCAACCCAGAAAATCTCTGTCAAGAGTCTCAATTTAGATGATCTAGATCTTGACAGAGATTTTCTGGGTTGGATAGATAGGAATCTGTCAATCATCTTTCCCTCTTTCACCTTCATTGTGCTATGTCTTCCAAGGGAATCTCTGTCAAAACTCTTTACCTGGCCACCACCTGGCCACACATCCTTCTAGTTTCCTTTTGAAAAGTCACTTCTTCATGGAAGATTTTTCTGGTCCTTCAGGCTAGTTTAGGTCCCTTTTTACGAGTTCTTTTTTCTTTTAGGACCCTGAACTCCTCTTGTTTGCACATGACTACGATGGAATTGTATATGTATCATCTAATTATTGTGCTATTAGTCAAATATCTTTACATTTTAATCTGTTAATTCCCA